TTCAATTAAAAAAGATATGCTGCGAAACTTGTACTAAATGCTGCGAGAGGATGTTTTTCAAACGCTGCAGTGCCCGACTTCTTGTTCATGCGTTAAATATTGCAAAATAATCAAAACAATAAAGCAAAAATATTCATTTTGCATTGATTGTATTGAATAAAATATTCATAGCTTTAAATAACACCCTATATTTACAAAGCTGGTAGAGGCATTTACAGCGTACCACTCAGTTAAAATCAAAAGTCCTTCAAAGTACATATTAGCTTCTGTCCAGTCTTCAATTGGAAGCCATGAAGTGCACATGCCACTTAGTGTACAGTCGAGAGATGAGTGGAATTTTCAAGCGCATATATAACAGAGTTTACATAACCGCATACTTGCATATACATACCTACATATACATGAGTGCATTGGAGAGTGGGCATGATTTCCTGTGTTAGCTATGYACATACATATTTCGTGCATGGTTATTATAGTTTCTGTGGTCTAGCGTTTTTTTTATTTATTTTTTTTTATTTTTGTACTCTTCGGCATCTGATCTGACGTTGTGCACATCGAAAGAGTGCAATGGTTTCAAGCTATTCCTGGAAGCTTTCAATCAATGCAATGCCATCTGGTTGTAAACAGAATTGGCTTTAAAATTATAGTTTTTACTTTTCATTTTTGTTTTTAGGAAATTGCTTTACCAAACTACCACAGGCAATTGAAACTAGCATTTAGCATGTCAAGTGGGATCAAAAATTCAGTGCATGAAGCTTTTGGGTGCTAATAATTGCTTTTGAATGCGGGAGCATGTTAGAGGTCGTACACAAAAACAASAGCAATTATTGTACTCTATCCTTCGTTTGAGATTGCATTTGATTTGAAGTTCCGAAAAGTTTCATGATGGTTGCGTGTTCATAGCTTGAGCTAAAATTACAGCCAAYGTTGAAATATTAAGCCGAAGACAATGTCTTCACATCGAATTGAAATTAACTTTGGTGAATTCGATTTAACATTTACAGACTTTTAAATTTTTGATAGCATTAAGATAGAGCCATTAACTACTTCTAAAGAAGAATATAGCCAACAAATCCCAACAGAGCCCTACMCAAAATGCTTCTAAAGAGTCTGTGAGAGCCACGCGCTGTGTTGTCCACTTTTAGTACAGATCGTAACAAATTTTATAATTTCTGTAGTTTTATCTGATATATTAAGAAATCTTCTTTTTCGTCAATTAATAAACATAAATATATTTTTAAAATTAAATGGAACCGACAACACATATGTACATGTTTATTTCTTTTCGCCTGCTGCCATTTTAGCCTTTAATGAAGCCGGCATCTCTGGCGGCGGCGGACGCGGTATACGTAGTGCCACTTTAACGCCGTCATAAATGAACCATTGCAGCGCGGTCAAAGTGCCAATCATGATTATACGCGGCACCAAGCCACCCCACATTCCCATAAAACCCAGCGATTTCGCCACATCCAGGGCCGAAGCACCCTTAGCTTGATTCAATTTTGAAACGACTACATCGGCGGGATGTGAAACTATCGCACAGAAGACACCGGCAATATAGCCCGCAGCAAAAGTGACCACTAACTGTTCGCCCTTTGTGCACTCAGCACGCGGCTTGGGCACAACGTACTTATAAAGCAGCTCCAGTGTTAGTTCGAAGCAAGCAAACTTCATCATTGTATATGGTATTTGACGCATCCACAGCGGCACAAGTCCCTTGTAGAAAGCTGTAATACCCTCGTCCGCCACCATTTTCGGTATGGCTTCACGCATTGTCTTGGCAAAACCTTGTGTCGTTTGCATTTTTACCTTAATTGCCTCCATGGGTGATAARGCGATATCGGCGAAAAATTCAGCCGAAGCCGATGCAACCAAATAGATGTACGTGCGATATAGGTAAGCATTTTCATCACCCAACAGCTTGGAATAGTAGACTTTGAAAACTTCATAGAATCCAAACTTGAAGGTACCCTGTGCTGAGTAGCCGAAGAATGTGGGCGCCCAACCTCTGGCCAAGCCACGTAYACCTTCCTCCTTGACGGTTAACTTAAGACCGTGTATCAGATTCTTGTATTTGGCTTTATCGACTTGCAATCGACACTTCACCAAGTCCAAGGGCGTTACCAGTGTGTGTGTAGAGCCGCACGATATAAGACCGCCAATCATGCACAATTGGAAATACTTGAGACTGCCGAACTCGCAGGACTCTTCACCGGACGCAACCGCAGCGGCCATCAAGTGACGATGAGGTAAAAATGGCATACGCAAAGCCGGGTCCAGTTGCCTTTCTTCTTTTGCTTGGCATTTTTCCGATTTCACCGGCGAACTAAGTAAAGTGTGTGACGCGGAGTCAAATAACGCTGACAGCATGCCGTCTTACTTTTTTCCCCGTAATTTTATTTAGCTATAATATTTGAARCGGTTGTAAGTGACTTGGCGTTTGAAGAAAATAAGCACTGATGAGTGAAAGTTTTCAAACTTCATATCTTATTTCTGTAAAATTCTTTTAAATAATGTACATCAGGTTTTCAATTTCAATGTTTATTATTTTACATTTGGTATATGGATACAACTCTGTATGACGAATCGAACGTACATAATAATGACGTGGTGTATTATACTCGTATATTGTATTTGTAGAACTATTTTGAGGAATGGTGTCAAGACACTCCCTGAATGAGAAAATTAAATTCTGTAGACCTGACTGTGTTTTTTTTTTTTTTTTTTTTTTTTTTTTTTTTTTTTTTTTTTTTTTTTTTTTTTTTTTTTTTTTTTTTTTTTTTTTTTTTTTTTGGACAAAAGACCGTTCTTCCAAAATTGCACAAATACTTGAAAATAATTTTCCGTACCGTTTGATTAAAAGTCTGCAGTCTTATATGATACACAACAAAGTCTTTCGAACTTCGGCCCAACGCAAGCGGTTTTTAAATATTTTCATCAGAAGTCTGTGAACGATACTTTAGAAAACGTAATGAAGGATTGTACTCTATCTAACACTATCTAAACAYGGCCTATGAGTTCCCTAATCCTAAATTAGATTTATTTTAGTACCCAACCTAAACTAACTCATAGATCAATGCGGTATTCGAACAGAGTTCCAATAAAAATAAATAAAACTTTAGCTTTGGCATATATTTTGTTTGTTATCTCTTTTCCTCGGTTTTATTCTGAGAACATCGTTGATTTGTTTTATAACTAAAACTGTACTCTTGATCCAAAATTTAGCGTGTTCGGTATTTATCGAACCATTTGTTACTGCCTTTAGTTGTGGGCGAACATGACTTGAATGAACATYGAATATTTTGTAATTTCGTAAATATTATCCTTGTGCCATCAACTGATTCAGGCGACGTCTTTGCTTGCTAGTGAGACAATCGAAGAGTCGTCTGGATCTAAACAACTCGTGACGATTATGCAATGGTGGCCACAGGGACGTGTAGCTGAGGTGCCTAAAGTTAATAAAAGATTTAAAAAAAAATGTAAGTCAAATATACAATACATTTATTATATACAATGTATGACGAGACAAGGTAGTATACTGTTTATTTGAAATAGGAATAGCGTAATCACCCTGGATCTCAAAGATGAAAACATAAGCTTGTCATGAGYATATAGTTTATAATTTCAACAATATATATTCTTAGAGATTTAAGTAAAATCCTTAGAGTCAAAAACTAAAAGATCTTTRGATAATCTGAGAAATTAAGTAGCGTTTGAAAGCAATAAATACCGCTCACATATTATTCTGATGTACTGTCTGATATGGAAAACAGATCTTTCAAAGCATTATCTACTGGAATTTTTAATTTTTAAAGGGAAAAAGAATTTTAAATTTCAACAATTTCTTTAACCACAAAACTAAAAATTACTTACCTTTGCAAAGTGACTACCTCATAGGCGGTCGGTTGAGCTTCAAGTAGTAATGAAATTTCACGCTGAAATTGTTTTTCATATTTGCTTATTGTTTCTCTATAATTCATCAGGCTGTTAAACTTGCTGAAATACGGTATAAAGATATATAAATATGTTTACTTGCTATAATACACAGATTATTGCTAACGTGAAGAACTCCTTTGTAAAGCTGGGATCGCGGCTGGGCAAGTCTCTGGCATCCGCCTCCTCATAGTTACGTGGTTCGTCCACATTTATGTCGTCCATCAGTTGGTAAACAACTTCTGTTGATTTTCTTTCGGGAGCTTCGTCAGTTGTGACAATTGAAGTCAAGAAAATGCTACTTGCTCTTGGGACAACATCGTCGTCCGCAGCTTGATACGATACCCGGGGATTATCATCGTCTAAGGCAATACTCAAAACGGTTCTTCTACGCCCCGAAAGAGTWGAACGGCGTAGAGACATTTGCTGTGATTTTGCTGATCCTAAAACGCGTTAAAAGCCAAACAAACAATTTTCAGTATAAAAATTAAAAAAAATAAAATATTAAAAAATGTTATGAAAATATTGTTGTAAAGAATGCGGTAAGTGAACGACACATTTATAAAACTAAATGTAATTTGACTACTTTAACAATGAAGTGGTAAATAACACATGAACCCAATGTACAGGCAGCCATTCAAGTAATAGTGAATCAGTGCGTTTTCACTTCCATTAAACAAGCTAAACGTAACAATGTAAGCTAATTTTTGAAAGAGATATTAGTACAATGCTTGATATTCTGGCTTTATTTAGTTATACCAGTTTTTGTAATTTATACCAGTTGTTTGTTCGATTCAATAATTTTACGATTACAGAATTGCTCTTAGACACTGCTACTTAACTTCCCATATTTCTATTGACTTACTGACCTATTTTGGGCATTTTGTAAAAACTTTTTGGGGCCTAGATTGTAAATGATCTTGTAAATGGAATAATACATCATGTCTACCACCAATGCTACCATCGACTTTTGGCCACTAAGTTCAGCAGTCCTATTATCCGTACATTCATTACACAAACAACCTGAATCTAMAAACATATAAATGCAACTGGATCCAGCCAAACTTGTTTTATAAAACACATATACAAACAAATATATTTCTTSATAACATGATACATCGGTTAACCCAACAGATATTGAGGTTCATACAGATTTTTAAATCTGTTAAGCGATTTCTGTATACATATATATGAAATTGTTGTTGTAAGCCGCATTAAGTGCAAACTTGGCTATTGGAAATTGGTAGCAATAATCTGATTTAAACGTCGACGTTGTTCGGATCGCAGGCGGAAGTAGTAACGATGTGCGTGGATAAGTTCATCMCGATTGTGCAGTGGTGGCCACAAGGTGGTAATGCATAAATGGCTACAAACAGTATACAAAATCAATATGAATAAAACCTTATAAGCGTCATCATATGCACCGATTGAAACGCGCAGCTTCGTATGCCGTATTCAGGTTGTTCATTAACAGACTGATTTCACGTTGAAATTGCTCCTCATACTGCTTTTTASTCTTATGATAGCGATCACGACACTTGAAGTGACTGCGGAAGATGCGAAAAAATATAACAAAATTAATATATTTTATTAGAATACAACTTTTTGATTGCACCCACTAAGGTATTGTAAATTTCCTATAGCTCGGATGCCGACTATCATCGCGCCAATCTTCCTTCCTCTTGCGATCCTTACAAATTTCTTCATACAACAATTCAAGCTCGCGTTGCGAGAATGGCACATTTTCGTCAYCACCAGCCGGTGGTATTACTGAACGGTTTATTTGTGAAGATTTGGTCTCAACAGGTGTAGTTGGTTCTGCCATTTATACAATTTTTATAGTTTTTTTTGTAATTACTATATTTTATTTTGTATTATTTTATAGATTTATTTCATATTTTTGTGATTATTATTATATTATCAATGTCTTTGATTGACTCAATACACAGTACTGAGTTTTTTTTTATTCGTKAGCGTTGCAGGTAACTTTTAACATWATTTATTGAATGTARATGATTCTGCATTAATCTTTTMAGTCCAAATGGGTATTCCTTCGTTTTCCATTTACTTGAAGGCATCGTAATAGCGTCCTTATCTGCTTTAGAAAAAGAAATCAAACGCATATTGTTTATTGTCAAGAATTGAATTCTATAATAAAGATAAAGGTTGGCCATTACAGGCAAGTTCCATTTTCGACCACTATTTGCGGCATTTGTCAACAGCAACGTGCGGAAAATTATCTTCAGTGATATYCGGCTTATATGCATAGACARGCGACCTCAYATAACCCTACAAAAATAGTMMAGCGGTGTTAAATATCTTGATCTTGGAGGCCACACTACACGTCGATGACGCGATATAATGTGCTCACCACAATTTTTTTTTTATAAATTGATTATTTCTTTCTATATTCTGTATGTATGTACCAACTCCGCATATCCATATCAAWATCCTCCAGTTCAGGCACGAAAATGTTAAACATGGCTTTATAGACTTAACTATGATGATATGGTACATATGGATCCATGATTCCCTTTGACCATAAAGCACGGCGAAAAGTTACACTTTTMGGATGTAACGGCGTTTCAACAATGGTTTGGGACTATCACCCATATCACTCCATATTCGTTTTGGTTTATTAACCTAACCATCAACCAAAAGTTAACTTCATCGTTGAACAAAATTATTTGTGAAAATAGACATCGATGCTCATCTCGTWTTTGGCGCTTTCACCGATCGTGAGATGGTCCCTCCTTTTCAATTATTGCATGAGTTGCATTATGTAAGCCCACAAACCGAAATCCTTTGGCAAAATTTTCCATAAATTGATGACGCCAATTGTTGCCTGTGACGCCTAATGGACTCACGCGGGTCTTCTTTAATACTCTGCTTCACAGCAACAATACTCGCTTTAATGTATTGAAACACTCCCATGCAACAGCATGCTGCATTGATGGTCCTCTCAGCGTTGCTTGTACAAAGCCGCTTATACAGTTGTATACCCATACACTTTTATTCGAATAGGTGCAATATTTATATATGCAATTATGTCTTTTTGTTTATTAATATTTTACGCACATGTAATCAATAAGGCATAAAAACATTTAATGAGAAACTTAACCAATTAATTTGATGCAATTACCACTAACAAAGCATATAGTCGCCACTGAGTAAATCCACCTGCAATTCCTGGTGGTTCTATATGTTAATATAAGCGTTTTTGTAAAATCTCCGCATATGCATAACATACTTGCAAATATATTCATACAAACTCGCGTTATTTGAACATTCCATTATTGAAAGCAAAAGGCTCAGTGCTGCAAGTGGATATTAATCGCASAGGAAATCGAAAAATTAAACGAATTAAAACGTTGCATTTAAATGGATTAATTAAATATGGAAGCCATTTTTATAATTTCATTATCGATTGCAGCTTTAATAATGGTACAAAGTATATAGGAGAACAGGTCTTAACTTTTAATGAAAAATTTTATTTCAAACACACTTTACAAATACAATGAACCAGCAGTAGAACTGTTGATTTAACACATGGTGCCTCATTCTTTTTTTTTTTTTTTGTTTGATTTAGTTACATCGCAAGGCATAATTGCTTTTAGGTCATAAGAAAAAACAAAAAGTCGAACCTGGATAACAGTATGCCAGTCAATATCGTCAATATCAGCTTTTCTTGACATCAGACCGGTAGGAATTTTCTTCGCAGATTGGTTCTCTATCAACCACTAAAATCTACCGATAGCGATTTCCAATGACTGTTTCGTTGTCTGATTAGCAATATGTAGCTTTTCAACCAACTGTATCGGTCAATCTCAAAGTCATCGATTGCTTACTTACCTACCTAGAAGATAACTTCACTGTGGGTCTATAAAACAGCCAGACTTGTTTGCCCCTCATTTTCCCCTCAATCCTAAGAGTTGCTCAAATTTGACAACTATGCATATGGATGTTCTTGGAACTTAATTGAAACAACGATACGGCACACACGTAGCTTGGGTTACTCCGCAAGAAGTCGTCAAAATCACACCATTTCTCATATATTGCGCTCTGCAGCTACACCTTAGTCAAATACCATTCAGTTAAGGCAGCATCAATTAGCATAAGTGCATTAGTGGCAAGCAAGATGCTTATTACACCAACAAATGCAACACGATTGCCCAAGTGCCGAGCAATTTTGCCTCCGTCATACACACCATACGAATTGGCGCTTAATAATGCAGCTGCCGCTAAGCATGGCAGCTGTGCAACGTTTGTATGCAATCAATTAATTAGTCACCTAAGGACTGTATTGTTGCGCCGAAGGGCAGCTTGGTGGCATAACAATCAACACTTCACACTCGCTGCTGAATTGCTAGGTTTACATTTGGGTAAGCGGTGTGGGTAAGGCAAGTCCTACTTATAAATGGATGTGGGCATGCACGTCAGCCAGCTTGTGTGGGCGCGTGCATATGTGGCATAGCAATTTGTTATTTGTRTTAACGGTTGCATAAGATTTCCCATTTAGACGAAAAGTACGATTACCTCCTGAATTTAATGTCCAAATTGGATTTTCAAACGGTTACTATCTTTATTGAAGACAATTATCACTTCAGTTAGGCTCTTCCTTTTAGGCTGCGTCTTTACTGTAATGATTTTTTATTCATTATTACAGATAATTTTGTTTATTTGAAAAAAAAAATTTCATACCTCCATATCACCGAGCCACCAATACTTCAATAAAATGTATTGGGTAGTCGAAAAAGTATTTTCCCTTCTTTAAGACTATCTTTACAATTTCATTGCATTCGTAATTGYGCTTCAACATTAAAAGGCTAGGAATATTTTTTTGGTTTAATCACTGCAATCGTAAGTGCATCTCTCGGAAGAAAGTGCGTAAGAAGTGTTAAAATCAACWCCACTTTACCAACCTATAGGAAAAATAAAACGAGATTTTACATCAAACAAGCAAGTAAGTGCCAAACTGGAAGGCAAGCTTATCAAACGGTGGTGCATGTGATGATCAACTGCTTGGACCCTTTGCTAACACTGTTTAACAAAATAATAWCATTTTATAAATTTTTGTAACGGGAAAACATATGCAAATTTGTTGTAATTTCTTCCGACTAAATGTAACGAAAAGCCTCTCCAAAAAATTTCTCAATTGCTAAATCTGCTGCAAAAAAAAAATGTTTAAAATGAAATTAGAAATTTTTTTTTTGATTATTTGAACCGTTGGTTTCTCAGCAACTTTTTGGTGTTACATAGTGTAGTTCCGTACACACACTTTTTTTGCAAGTTACCGCAAAGCTTTTGGCAGCGCACTTAGAATCTGAAACAAAAACAAATGGAAAGAGTTTCCTACCTACCGATCGTTATTCTGCCCCCACCGGCCAATTTTGCTTATTTGCGCTCAAACAAACGTTGTGGCGACAAATTCAAGGTAAACAGCAACAAAAAACATTTATGTGGTCATACATACCATCTAAATAGGAAACTGTAATAAAGTCTCAGGAACACGATGCATTCAATAAATGTTCTATGGATTTCATTCAATAAATATTTAAGGATAAGCTAAGCTATTGTCAAATGAATTCTAAAAATATGCAAAATTTATTCAGAAAAACACCGTGTAGTTGGAAATTCTGCATTTTTCTTTAAATTTGCTTCATTTTTTCAGAACCTTGTGTGAATAAAACAATTATTTCCCGAGCTTCTCTGGAATATAAGAAATATACGATATCGTTCGATAATCTTTTTTGCAGATTTTCGCAATGATAAATTATTATACGAAGTCTTAGATTACATATTTCCCGAATAACCATTATATTTTTTGCTAAATAACTCAAAAAAAAAAAAAACTAAAATGTAACTTCTTTTAATAATTGATATCCCGATGTTTTCAATACCCGTTTCCACACTGAATCACTTACCTCAACCGGCTTAAATTTAAGAAGCTATAACTTTCTCGCAGGGCTCTAGCCAGCTACCAGTACAATTCACACACTCACATACTGGAATGTGCAACGCCTTCAAGTACATAAACTCACATACATTTAAACGCACAAAAGCTCCCCAAAAGTGGCTGCTTTCCTTCATTTCCTCGAGAATACGAGTTTTTCGATTTCCTTTTACGTTAGTTTAACATACATAGGTGCATGCCTTGATTTGCACCCACTTATTTTTTCCATTTCACTTTCCCCTTGCTTCTTCGCTTGCACTGAGTACGTTGCTGTCTGTTGATCTCCACTTGTGTTGTTTATTGTTTATGCTGTTGACAATCGCTCACAATTTGTGATGATTTGTGTGCACTTAATTCAATTGCCCCAAAACAATGCCGACTTCACATACATTACCCTTGGGCATATACGTATACAATAATTGCATATATAGTATACTTAATAAAGAGATAAATGAATGCATAAATTCTTTTGGTTTCGTAAACGTTATTTACTCTGCTGTATTTCAGCTACCAGCAGTGAGAGAGTGAGGACTTTCAGGTAGTTAATTTGTATGGAGAATGTAATGCACTTATAAATTTAAAAACACATCGATGATTTAAAAGTAATAGTCGGTTGCCTTTGCCAAATGTGTGGATGCCACGCTATAATTCTTTGATTCCTATCTAGTGTTAGAAAAATATAGAAAAATATCTTATTGAAGTTTCAACGATGCGTGCCTTATTGTATAAAAAAGTTAGAAATTTTCAGTCATACTTGTCGGAAGTAGAGTTTTACCCCACTCCCTTATTATGGTAATAAAAATATACAACTTTTTATGTAAATTGCTTCCTATAAGTGTCGATAATGATGTGGTCAGGTCGATTTGCAACACCTTTTTATCAAACCAAGCGTGGATGGCGTTAAAAGATTCAAAGCTAGCTAGATTTGAGTGCTTTGAGTCACTTTGTGAGTTATTTATCATACCAA